TATAGTGAGCAGTTACATACATACCTATGCTAATTTTAATTTTTAACGAGCCGATGTGCTTAAAACTCAATTGGGAAACCGATTAATAAGTATGCCCTAACACATTCAAGATTTGTATCAACGTTTATACTGCTTTTGTACATAAATATTTAATACCCGCCTCTAGGTGACGTAATTATCCAAAGTCTGGGCACTCATTCGAGACTAAATATTTGAATGTACATATCTGCATGTGTATTAGAGTGGGCTGAAAATCCGCTTTTTTAAAATTTTGATTGGAATTTTTTGGTCAATATCCTAGGCTCGCCCACGTCCATTTAAGTTCTATATGCTCAATAAATAAAAATTAATAAATAAATTATTTAATACATTTTTTTACTAAAATTGCAATAATCTTCTAAAGTATTAGTCCTACATAATTTGGTATATGGTAATTTTTTGTAGAGAATCGAAGTTAGCTAAGAAAAATTTTTTTAGTTCTTGAAATTTGATGGGCTTGGGCGAGCCTAGGATATTGACAAAAAATTTTCACACTTCACACAGATATTTTTTTAGAGTATAATGAACCATATTTTTGATATTACCAATCAAAATTCTAAAAAAGTGGATTTTCGGCCCACGCTAATGTATATATATGTGTGTATGTATTTACATATGTATTGTTGTTAAACTTTAATAGGAAAAATTTTTGGGAGATGCAAAAAAAAGATGCTATCAGGCACTCGTGATTGCAAATTGCAGGTACATAATACAAATTATATATACTTACTAATATTCACAATGCATTTACTAATTAAATCAAACTAATATTTTGACTCATACATACACCATACCCGTATTTAAATCCGACTATGGCATTCAGACTTGCATACATATTGCACACAAATATATACATACCTCTGTACATTAGACCGTTATAAAAAAAACACTTCGCCGTAAAGCCCTGAGTCTGAAATATTTTTGCGAGGCAATTTCGAAATATTGTTTAGGGTTCACCCTATCGTCATATCTTCGAATTTACAAACGGATCTCAAAGAGTTATATATCGATGTTCTTATTTAGGGAGAACATTTTTTTGTTCCAAAATTAATTGACCTCAAATACGCCGTTCTAGTATTATTTAGTGCTTACTTACCAGATCTCATTTCTAAATTAAAGCTCACCAAAACCTATTAAATTTTTGCTAAGTTCCGCTGGCATGGCCTTGTCATTCGGCGCCCCAACTCGGCCAATTCGCTAAGGCGGTTACAGCCGCAAATAAGGAGAAGTATTTCGATTATTCCAATAGAACTTAAAAAAAATTTATATTGAACAAAGTATGTAGGTGTTACCAAAAAATAATTTTTGATTTCGAAATTGTCTTGCCAAAATACTTTTTACTTAGGGCTGTACGTCGAAATTTGTTTGTTTGCTTATAAGGTGGTACGGTCTAATGTAAATGTAACAAGCAAATTGTGTTACGTATACGCAGCGGGTGCTAACTACAGAGTACATTAATATTATAGTATGCAAACCAAAACCAATAATTTAAATGAAAATAAAATTAAAAATGACAAAAAAATTTAAACTGAACAAAATTGTCACATTTATTTGTATCTACCTAAGTATGTGCTTAAATTTGTAGGCAAATTCGCTGCCAAGAGAGATTTTCATGCCGCTGAATAAAATTTCAAAGTGAAATAAAATTCAGATGATCGACAAAAGTGCGGGCGAATAAATGAGTTTAATATGTACAGATTTTAAGTTAAGCAAAAAAAAAATGCACAGGAAAGCAAACTAAAAAATAATTAGAACTGTAGCCACATTGCGGTTGGAAATTAACCAGAGACTAAGCGACAAGTAATTATTATTTAATATTATTTTTTTTATCGAGTACTGGAAAATAATAATGTCTTATTACACATTAGGTTGTAATAATTTTTTAAGATGTTAAATGTTTTAAAGTATATTAATTTTCAAGGGCAAATCGAGTATGCCAAATTCAGCAGAAATAATTTATTTTCATCAGAGGCATATTTTGCTATATTTTTAGAGTATAACTTAATCAAAGCGTATTGACACAACATTTTTTCTGAAGCAATATTTTGTTGTAATTTTCCGCAAAAAATGGACTTACGAATTATTTTTCTCGTGCTTTCTTTATCATTTCGCAGGTCAAGACTTCGCCTATAAATATCAAAAAACATCGGTTTTTACTAAATATACTCATAACTTTTTTCCCAATATGAGGCAAAAACCAAAAAATACTTTGCCATTAAAACTTGATAATTTTAAATGTGAAGAATGCACGATTTTGTAATTAATTAATTAATTAATTTTCCCTATTATGAGGGACTCTCATAATAACAATTATTTTGTTGTACACACATATATATATATATATATCGTTTTTCATTATTTATGTACATTACAAAAAACTCCTTAAAAAGTCAAGCCAAGTGAAACCAAAAAATAAATGTATTGTAAAATCAATGAACTTGCTATGATTCGTCCTAATGCATAAAATGGCTATGATTCGTCCTAATGCATATGGCGAAATGCATAGTATTCGCGGTAATTACTCAGCAAAAATTTACATTTATCATTCATTTCCACGCTAACATAAAAATATTATTTTTTGATGGCGGGATCGTTCTGATTTTAACACGAAAAATTTCTCGGTTCAGCGGTAACATTAATGAAATGTGAATGGATGAAACTTGCTTTTACGTTCTATAAAAAAGGGTTAAGAAAATCAAAGAGAGCTAGTTTGCAGAACAAGTGCGACGAAATCAGCAACCACTCAAAAAACCTAAACCGACTAGCTTCAGCCAGTGTTGCCGTATTTACTACGAACGAAGTTTTTCACTTTACTTTTACGGCCAACATTCTGCACTTCCTCTGTGACAAAATAGCTTCGATTTTATGCGACCAGAATTCACCAACAAATGTTTTGATTTTACTATTACATATTTTTAGTAGATACATATGTACATTAGACTGCATCACTCCCCATACAAACAAAAAATCTGTACTGTTTTTCCGTTCGAACTATAAAATCTATTATATTTTAAGGCGTCCACCAAAATATTTCGGAAAAATATTAAGATTTAAGCGAGCTGGGCCGATTTGTAGATACCGCCAAAAATGGAGTTTTTTTGTGAATAAAAATAGTTTCTTGAAGATGCTTTTTGAAAAAATCCCCTCAAATGACAGAACGGTTTAAGCTTAAAAAATTTGCATAAAATTATTTAAAAAAAATTTTTTAAAAATTTGAACGGAATCGTAATAATGAGATTTTTGATGTTGTTTTTTTTTTTTTACTTTTTTCAAAGAAAAAAGTATAAGAAAAACTTGAATAACTGAACCTACACTCTTCCGATTTAGACTTGTGAGGTATCATTGGAAAGGTATTTTCTCACCTTTTTTATATCTGTAAATGTAATGTATGTAAACAAGCTCATTCAAAGGATGAAAGGAAAGGTAGGATGAACGAACATCATTCAAAGTTGAATTAAGATGTGTTGGTATTTGAAAAAAAAAAAAAAAATTGGGACACGAATGACTTTTTTTTGCACATAAATAAAAATAGTGGAAATATACCTTTCTGCCGAGATCCCATAAGTCTACATCAGAGTAGTTTTGACCCAGTTGTTTAAGTTTTTCGTAAATCATTCTTTGAAAAAAGAAAAAAAAAACATCAAAAATCTCATTATTACGATTCCGATGAAGAGTTTTTAAATTTTTTTATGCAGATTTTTTAAGCCTAATCTTTTTTATCATCTGAAGGGACTTCTTTCAAAAAGTTCTTCAAGAAACTATTTTTATTCATACAAAATTCCATTTTTGGAGATATTTTCAAATCGGTTCAGCTCGCTTAGATCTTAATATTTTATACATTTGAATAGAAACGAGACTATAGTCTCAAAGGGGCTGTACATTAGGGTGGAGCGTAAAAAATAAATTTTTCGATTTCGTAATTCTAAGAGTGAGCAAAAGCTGCGGAACATGATCACAATGAACCGTGTTAAACCGCTTTTCGATCGGATAATATTTACAGTCGCCCTAATAGCCATAAAGTTTCCAAAAATCTCTAAAATTACGGTCCTTTTATACTCAACGATTTTCTAGAAAGATTTTAAGTATACAGTTTTGTAGCCCTTTAAAAAACCATAATAAAGTACAGGTTTCATATAGCTAAAGAATTGCGCTGATTGTTGGCATTTTTTTAGAGTGCCACGCAGTTTTCTCATAAAAAGTATGTTAAAACAAATTTTTATATAGAAGAAATGAGCGAAACCTTCAACAAAAAAAAATACCAAAAAACAACGGCAATCATATCTACTTCAAACTTGCACTTTATTCTATTAAAATCGAATGAGATATAAAACTGCATCCTTAAAATCTTAAAAAAAGTCTAATTAAAGGCTTCACATTTTTAGGAAACTTTATTGTTTTTTTTCAATGTTGCACAAAGTTTGAAACTTGGATTTCTACGGTTTTTGTTACAGAATAAACTATATTTTTATCAAAAAATAATTAAAATTCAATCAGTTTTTCAGTGCATTAAAATTAACTATGTACATACATTCGCGCGTGAGGACAGTGGAGCAAACAGCAAGCTTTGTAAATTAAAATGTTGCAATTCGCCATACCGCACACAAATATATGCACATAGAAAACAATAAATGAATTGAAAGACCAGCAGCCTCTCACAAAATTACCTACATAACATAGATGGTACATTGTATGTTAGATTTTTTATTTTTATTTTCATTTTGGTTTTCTTTTTTTTGTAACAGTACTGATTACCAAAAGAAAACTAAACTGTAACATTGTGCTACTCGTGTGCTGCTCGTGCTATACATAGCTCGTTTGCGCCGACGCCATCAATGCGTCACCTCAACCAATGTTCATGCAATTCAACTCAGCTGTGCGCGGATATTCTGTAGTTCGATTCGCAGCTCAACTCAATTCAATTCAACAAACACGAATGTTGTTATAAATACGGACAACGCGACTCTCTGGCTTTCATTCTCTCGCAGTGGTTAAAGTGACATGAAAGTGAAGACATTGGTGCACTGTAGCAAGTCATGTATCATGATCCAAACACAGCTAATATTCTTGCCAATGGTAAGCAAAAAAAAAAAATTATTGCAAAATTGTGAAAAATGTATGTATGTAGTTACATAGATACTAAATAATTGTAAGTTAAAATGGACTTTAAAACATAAGTTTTATTAATTAAAAGGACTCTTAAGAAAATTTGTGCAATTTATAGTGAAAAATATGTAAGTACGTGCAAAAATGTTATTTGTATGTACATATGCTGGCTAAAATAAAAAAAAAATATATACATACTAATACTGACGTATGTAAAATGCTCAACAGCTCGTGCATTTACCAGCATGTATGCTGGTGTTGGTGTGTGCTTTTTGCTTCAAATGTACCAAGAGTGTCTAGCGCGTGTGTGCATGTAGAGTACTTGGATGTCTGTCTGTCTGTCTGTCTGTCTGTGCCTTTTTGCCTATGCCTCGTGTGTGCTTGCCTTAAGAGCTGCCAATTCTTCTGGTAGTCAGTCAGGCATTCCTCGCCTGATTTCATGTCGTCGGATAGTGCAAATTAAGGGCGCGGCGTATCTTGCACTCGGCGCACGCCACAGCAGGTGGTATTCACATTTTTCTGCAACACTGGGCGACGAACAACAATTAACAAACAAAAAAAGTGTGTATATATTATTCTAAATACGTATGTATGAAAAGAGGAGCAAAGGGAGCGAATGGACTGAGTGCTGTACTAAATGGCGATTTGAAAAAAATAACTAACTGTTATAAAAAAAACAATGTAATTTCATTTTATAATTTGTAATTATTTTTATTAAAACTTCAAAGAGAAATACAAGCTTTAAATATGGACTTTTTTTTTCTAAATCGGCGGGAACAAATCGACAGCTATATCTAGTAAAATTGATAACCAAAGACTGAAGATGATAAATAAGTCTTAAATGAAAAAAAATAATTTTTAATTTATTTCTATTTTAAAGGGCTGTTTGCACAAGAAATGGAGAAGAAATTTTCTTCTAACAAAATTTCTTAAACCAATTTGCAGCTCTCAAGAAAAAAAATGCTAGAATATTAATTCAACCAACAGAAATAATGAAAAATATTTCGTGTGATTTTTCTCGAAAGCTGAAAACAGTCCTTAAGGAACGAAAAAATTGTATAAAAATTTACACTCATAACATTTTCAGTCTTCTCCGGCATAAGATCAAAAGGTCTGTGAAACTCCTTAGCCACAGTTAAAGGTGAAAAATGCTTGGTTTTGTGCTTTCTCGCATTTCCTACTGACTACATGATGCAATAGTACTTATTTTTCTGCTAATAAAATCGTTCAAATTATCAGTCTGAGTGCTGACTAAAGGCTGTAATTTCGCATTAAGAATGAAGTTGCTATCTTCTAAGTCACGCTTATTAAATTTATTGGATTGGCGGCAACTGTTAGTGACGACAGAACTCATTAACTAAAGCATTTGTAATATGGAAGAATTTTGCTGTTAAATTAGATTGTAGGCGAAAGTATGTAGATTTATATTTATTTATTAGTATACTCAGCAATTCTCCAATGCGATGAATTTGTTTAACATTCGGCTGCTCGCTGTAGAACTTATGTGTATAAGTTTCTGCATATGTATGTATGCTCAGCTCCATTGAAATACAGTGTATTAGTTTGAATCGTGGGTTAAGCAATTTTACAATATAAATTTTAGATTTATAAAAGAATGGCCAACATGATAAAACCTTATCTTCTGATCTCAGGGTTTTTGTCAATATCTTAACATTTTTTTACAGTGGATTATTTACTATTTTTGCTCAAAAATCTAATTTTAATACAAATAGCCCATTTTATGTACAAATCGACTTAAACTATAATTCTTCTATTTAACTAAAATATTATGTAACAAATTTACTAAAGGTCACGACTACTACGTATGCATACTAACGTCTGGCCATAGTTTGGTTCAGCACCTAAAAGGGCTCTGTCCATCGTATCAAAATAAAAGTTGACTACCCTTCTTTTCTAACACAGGAAGTCACTTGTAATCTCTTCTCTAATTCAGAAATCAAACAACCAATTAAACTTTTTACGGCGCAAATAGTTGAAAATTTTCTAAAAAATTGTAAATTCCGGAAACATTTGGCGTGTTTTGGCATGTTTTTGATAGACTTCGTCGTGCTGATTACGAATCCGTAAGTGTAAAGTTTCCATCGGCTCCGGAAAAACGAGGTAAAAGTTTCAAAAAATCGCGTTTTTTAGAAGCTCTAGCAAAGAAACAAAAGTTGCTAGAACCCTCGACTACTACCCCTAAAAATACAATTCCTGCACCTTGACTTGATGGTCACTTATAGCCGATTGTTGAACAGCAAAAACTGATTTTGGTGAAATAAACAAAAGGTGATAGAACCTTCCACTTAGGTTTAAATTACGGTTCGAACTTTCGACTACAATCCTTTGAAATACCCTCCCTGCATCTTGACCCCAAGGCCTCTTATAGTCATTTTTTCAACAGCAAAAACTGATTTTGACAAAACTTGTTTTTTCAAGAGCACAATTTTCCAATATTTTTTATTGGGGGAAATGTCGAACCAAAATATTTAAATAAAAAAGGGACGAAGTTCGCCGGGGGTCAGCTAGTCGAATTAAAAAAGAAAAAGAAAATATAAATATATATATATATATATAAAATTCTCTCGTCAAATGCTGGTTTGTTTTTTGCTGCGAATCGGCGCAAAGGCAAAGACTTAAGTAGCGACAAATATTGATGGATGAAGATGTGGTTAAAGTAAAAGCTGCTCGTTCGTGGCATACATACTACTTTTGATTTGATTGAACACTTATGACGTGGTAGAGCGAAATCCTATGTGATCGTCTCAAAACCCGATTAATACGATTAGTGTAATACATCTTTCCCTGCTTATCAGGAAATCGGAGTGCGTTCTCTGAAGGTGTATCTTAATAAGGAAAAGTTGGATGTAATACTATAAAACCAAGTGCTTACTTTCGTAGTTAGAAAATGAAAGCTCATCCCAGCGATCGAATCAGCCTTACAATCAGCCTTATCCTGAGATTCATTTTCCCCAAACCGGTTCACTTTTCACTTTTCGTTTTCATGTATATATTTACTATGGGCGGATCAAACATTTTTGGGTGAATATTTTTTCGGGCGAAACTCAGGATAGGGCAGTATTTGTATTTTGGAACAAATTTCTACCCGTTAAGAATAATTTGGTATGAAATGATTAAACAAAATTCATTGTTAATGTCATCGAACCGCAACACTGTGCATGGCGCCCACAAACGCTATTAGACTTTCATCACAATTTTCTTGCCACAAGAAATTTTCTTACCAGATACATTTATGTGCATAAACACATACAGACATAGAACGAAAAATTTCCCAATGTTATTCAAAATTGGCTGAGGCGCATGCGGCCGGAAGAGCCTTGAAATGTGATTAGGTATGTGCGGATAAGTTATAGAGAGTGATAACATGAAAATGCGAGAGAAAATTGAAAGCAATACATATAAAAGCAATGTTACCATATATACAGTTTTAACTGCAAATCTCAGCTTACAGTTTTTGTTTTTTTAATTACCTCCTAGTAGATACAAATTACAGTCTTGTCAAAATTTTAGACTCGAAAGAATATATTAAAACCTCTCTCTTTCACTACCCATAGAAGGCCTTCGAGAGGGGCTTTTATAGGAAAATGTTTATTAAAATTCATTTAAAATGCTAAATAATAGAAATCTATGCGTTCGCGTAAATTGTAAGTGGATAAGCCCTTCTAGAAGGCATGCAAGGAAGCACTTTTTTCATCCCTTCTTGGGTAGGCCTCTTAGAACTTAAAAAAACTATAAATTCCAAAAATTCTTTTGTTTTGAAGATTACAGTTTTTTGTTTGAAATACAGTTTTTTTTATCAAAAATTCACAGTTTTTTTTTGTAAATAAAGTGTGACAAGTAAGTAACACGTACTTATAAGCATAAAAGTCATCCTTCCATTTGGTTGCTCGGTTAATACAAAAGTTAGATGCTAAAACATTCACTAGAGCGTACATACTCACAAGAGAGTGAGAGAGGCAATGTGAAATAACTTAATTAATGAAGAAAAAGAGAGAGCAGTACTATCATAGCCGGGAAATGAAGAAAATACTGTTGGTGACCCAATAGAAGGACAGCCGGATATATGTAAATACATATGTATGTAGGCATTACACAAGCAGCGCGAAAAGATACGATTCCATTTAGTAAGTATGCAGAGAAAAAGAGCATCAGCTAGAGCGAATCGAGAGTTTGAAAGTATTTAAAAGAGTACATTATTTCGGCAGTATTTTATGAACTCTGCTGTATGATTAAGATACCAGGCGGCCGGGTCTAATCGGCATACAATTCGAAAGTTGCTTGCTGCTTCTATGGGGTCTTTAAAGTGGCGCTCACTGCGTCAGTGCCGTTCGCTATTAGTACTGCTTGCCTTAGTTTAGCGGTGCAGCAGCAGCTGCGTGCGGCAACAGCTGTTTTTGGTGTCGTGCCCACCCATCAATCGCAGCACAATCAGCAGCAGCACCGGCAGCAAGCTACGCAACTAGATGCACGCAACTGTGTCAGTGGATGTGTATTTGCAAATCTAAATATGGATGTATGTAAATAAATTATTTATGTATTTGTGTATATACATGCATACATACATATATGCAACTGCACTCATTCATACTTGTACATACATACATAACTCTGTACATTTGTATGTATTTAAGAATACATAGGTCTGTATAATACTTATAAGTCATTATTTGGTGCCGACATTGGAGTTTCTATCGGTGGCCTTGCATTGTGTTTCCCTTTTTTTCTAATAGCGTTTTATTTTCTCGAAATAATGTTGCATTTATTCTGCCCTGCGCCAGGGCTGTCAAGTTTTCGTGTTCTTCTCTCAGCATAATCACAGGCATATTCCGTGCTCTTTCCTTAAAATTTTGCACTCTGATAATGTTGCAATATAAGAAGGTGACATTTTTTTTCGAGAAAAGAAAACATTATAAGTACATACATATGTACGAGTGCATATTGCGTTGGCG